ATTTTTTAAATATTAAATATATTTTATTAAATTATTAATAAATTAATTATATTATTAAATATATAAACTTCTAATTTTTCAAAAAGCTAGCAAAAAGCCTGCCTTGGGTGGGGAGAGAATAACAGGTGGGCAGAGGTCATTTCGGGGGGGATCGCGGGGGATCGCAGTTCCCCCGGGTGAGGTACAGGGGGCGGGGCACATGATGAAGCCCCTCCCCCTGCTTCCGGCCGCCCCGCTTCCGGCCCTCATTCAGCCAGGAGGAGGCAGGAGGAGGGTAAGTTGCTTCCTCCCTGCCTCTCCCCACCCCTGCCTGCCTGGGGCCAGGGAGGGCCTTTGCGGGGCTTCCTTGCACTCCCGCCGGCCTTGCAGGTCCACCACCGGGCCCCTCATGGGGCTCGGCAGTGGAGCTGCAAGGCCGGCGGTGGCGGCCGGGACCGTTGGGGGCGGGGTGTGTGGCCTTATGACACACTTCCGGTGATGTCAGGGGGTGTGGCCTTATGACACACTTCCAGTGATGTCAGGGGGTGTGGCATATGCTAATGAGTTATGCTAATGAGTCCCCCTAGCTCTTTTTCTACGAAACGACCCCTGCAGGTGGGAAGGAAAAGGACAGAGAATAGCCCCAAGGGGAGGATCCATGCGACTGTGAACGGCTTTGTAGCCACAGCAGCAATGAGAACAAACTGGGGGATCCAAACCCTCACCCCCATGCAAAAGTGACCCAAGACAGCAACAAAGTTCCATCTGATTTAAGTGAGGAAATGAATAATCCATACTATAGTATGCATAGCCTGTATTAAACTGCAACGCATTTATTAAGAGTTTGGGGAAAACCTTTCCACTGGATTCTATAGGTTTCATTCAGTTCGATGATGGAGTTATGCTTAAACATACCTTTTAGAGGTGGGCACTGAATCTATCCCTGCATCAGTGTTTAGCTAACCATTCATATGAATGGTATTAGAATGCCCCTGTTCCTCACAGAGGTGACCAATCTTGGGTTTATTTCTGCTTGCTCCATCTAACTTCCCAATCCTAAACATTTTAAGGTTGTGGGGGGGGATCCCTTGCTTTCAACAGAATCTTCTTCCAAATAAATGTTATGTTTGAGGGGCTACTACCATTTCTGTGGGACTGAAATCCCAACCTGGAATGCATGAAATGGAAGGAAGGATGGATTCCAGCAAAGTAGTAGTGTGAAACACTAAGTGAAGTCATAGGTGGGTGAGTTTGTCTTTCAGGTCCTTTGACAGTTGTAGAAAACACAAAAAGCAAGACTGCAGCCAATTAAGCAATGATGATTTCATAGGATTCCAAGAGCATTCATGTGGATAGCTACTATGCAAAAAAGGAAATCACCTAGTGATGGCTTAACCATGCCGGTCTTCGTCCAAATCCAAACCTATTCCCTCTTTTTACCAATGGATCTTTGGGGCAGCATATGCTTTGCCTTGTTTGCATGCAAGATCACTTCTGCGTGACGGCTCTCCATGCCCAATTTAGCGTATGGGGTGTCTTGCTAGCGATGTTTCCAACACCAGCAATGGGCTGGCTTGGAAATGCTCCCTGTGACTAGGAGAATGACTTCTGTGACAAGCCATGCTCAATTTGGCTCAGAGAGTTGTCAAACAGAAGCCACCTCATGCGCAGATAAAGCGACAAAGCACTGCAAGGAAGATATGCCAGTTCCCAGTCCAAGGGGTTAGCTATCTGAATTTCTGATTCACATATGCACTGGAAGCAGGGCCAGATTAAGCTATATCAGGAAGCCTCATAGCATTTTGTTGTTGTTGTTGTTGTTCAGTGGCACAGTCAAGTCCGACTCTTTGTGACCCCATGGACCAGATCACGCCAGGCCTTCCTGTCTTCCGCCGTCCTCTGAAGTTGGCTCAACTTCATGTTCGTTGCATCTATGACACTGTCTAACCATCTCATCCTTTGCCATCCCCGTCTTCTTTGACCTTCAATCTTTCCCAGCATCAGGGTCTTCTCCAGTGAGTGCTCCTTTCTCATTTGGTGGGCAAAGTATTTGAGCTTCAGTTTCATTATCTGGCCTTCCAGGGAACAGTCAGGGTTGATTTCTTTGAGGATTGACTGATTTGATCTTCTTGCAGTCCAAGGGACTCTCAAGAGTCTTCTCCAGCACCATAGTTCAAAAGAATCTATTCTTCGGCGCTCGGCCTTCCTTATAGTCCAACTCTCACAGCCATACATGACTACTGGGAATACACATATATAGTAATTGTAGCACTTTTTAGTGATTTTTAGAATCTTTAGTCCCTTCAGTCTGAGAGCCTAAACTGCAGTTGACTTAGCTTGTGCAGAAATACAGCCTTGCCTTTCTGTTATAAAATAGTACTCAACTTGGTTTTGAACTTTGGCACTGGGGGGGAGGGGTGGAAGGAATAAGTAACAAGGAGTCATGTCAGCCAGTGCAGTTTCATCTACTTGAGCTATAGTCTAGTTAGGGATAAGCACTGCAAAACATGCACCCTTTGGCTGTTCGTTCATATCTGAGGATGTTTACACCTTGATTCTCAATACCTCCAGTTTTAGACTGTTTCTGGCTCACAGCTTCAAGTAGCTGCCAGGATTTCCTACGACACCATTGCACTGATTCATGGACCTGCTTGGTTTGAGCAGTACCTAGGAGTTATGGGCCTTCACCAGCAAACAATCCAAACTAGATTATCCAGCGGGACTATAATTTGCTACAAGCCTTCAATATAAGCATTACTGAAGGCAAAACTGGACTCGGAGCAGAAAAGGCTGTGCGCAACAGCAGCCTGAAGTGTTTCACATACACGTTAGAGCACCGAACCAATGTGATTCAATTGCAATGCATTCGGGATCTGTATCTCCAAGTTACTTTTTTCTTAAACTGAAGAACTCTTTACGGCACAGGATCCACCTACAGAGCAGACCAAGACTCAAGTCTAGAAGCACCGTACAGTTCAACAAGATTTCGGTAGTATAAGTTTTTGAGAGTCAGAGCTCCCTTCATTGGACTCTCAAAAGCTGACACCTCGAAAATCTTGCCTCTCCGTAACGTGGTGCTGGACTCAAACCTCGCTCTTCTACTGCAGAACAACATGGCTACCCACCTGAAACAGTGCTGATCAATGGATCACTACCCAAATGAACAGCTACCAAATCTACACACAGAGCAAAAGGCAGTCAAGGATGTCTAAAATACACTTTTTTTACACTGTAATTGTTGAAACAAGTGGCAAGATTTAAAAAAAAATTATTTAAACATAGACAGTTGCCAAGGAGAAGTAATAGTTCAGAAAAAGGCATGTCTCATTGACAGTATTGGGGGGGGGGAGTGTTAAGAGGTACACAGAGCAAGCAAAAGGAGGGGGGCATCCCACCCCTTCTTATCACTGGTCCCTCTGCAACACTACAGGCCACAGCAAGCCCAACAGAAGAAAATCCCCCCCCCCAGTATTTACATTTTATGGTGGGAAATACAAGCTCCTGTTACTGAATAGCTACTAACGTTTCAGAAAAGCCGGAGCTCTAGGCGATACTAGAAAGCACGCCTATGAACACGAGTGCAGGCACAGCTCTGTAGCAGCACTTTGGGAAGCAATCCTATGCAGGTCTACCTGGAAGCAAACCCAGCTCTATTCAATGGGTTTTACTCCCAGGAAAGCGTTCTACGGATCGCCATCTCAGAGACTGAGGAAGCAAAGTCTAGTGCTTTAAAGTTCATGGCTTGGCAGCGGGAGAATTAAACACCTGAGAATCAGCCCTGCGTTGGACTCCCCCCATTCATCAAATAATGACAGGACTGAAGCCGGAACGGGCCCTATTATCCTTATAAGTTTTTTATCCGCAACAGCCGATCCCTTCGGATGCCTCATTCACCCCAACGTTCAAAACTCTATACAGTCCGAGGGCCCTTCCTCTCGTCCTCCTCTCCAGACTTCTCTCGGCAGGAAGGAAGCCGCCCGGAGCCTCCCCTTCACTGGATTGGGGTGGAGGGGCGCGAGATCCGGCAACCTCCTTCTGTCCCTAGGAGAGGGAAAG